GAATATAAACTCATTTGTTCTCAGGTAAGACAAACTGATCCCAAATTTAGTTAGATTTTTATTTCAACTGTAAAGTCTGTTAAGACTACCAGCTAAACAATCATGTTTAGGTGTGATGTCTATGATATGAACAGATGTGTCACAGGAATTGAACTGAAATAATCTACAATCATGGCAGGCAGCAGCTCCCAGATGGCAATAATTTTTTGGTTTCACTGTCGGAAATACCTGAACTAATAGTCACCATACAAAACTTTGTGTATGTATTCACAGAAGCATTCATAATCAAACATTCAATATCTTTTCTGGGATTTAACATAAACTACTTTTCTTTTTTTGTTTATTTAAATCAGTTTCTCTGAAAGTTTCCATTATTTCATACCCATGAAGCCAGGTTGCCCCTCTATAAGCACAAAAACTCCTAAAGGGTTGAAGCCACTATGGTTGCCTATACACATGCATCAAGGATGTTCCGATGCGCTGTAATTACAGCACATCAGAGCAGACTCGATTAATCAAGTCTGCTGGAGTATGGAATTACCATGCTTCAGCAGACTCCAGTGTCATGTGTATTAGAGTCCCAGTGCTGAAAATGGTGGCGAGGGCACTTTAACTAAAGTTCATTTCAGTTTAGTCAGTGCCCTGATGCCATTTTTCAATGCAGGGACAGCTGATACATGTGATGCTCTGGGTACTTTAATTAGAGTGGTTCTGAGACAGCCCCTGTCCCAGAGCATGTGTATAAATGCTCTATTTAGAGCTGTGTGAAGCTTTGGTCACTGATTCGATTCAGCAGACATTTGGCCCAATTCAACAGCTGAATCTCCAAATCCAAATTGAATCGGGCAACCCTTTAATCTCTCCGAATCGAATCAGAACCCTCCAAACGATTCGGAAAGGTTCGATGATTCAGACAGGTACAGCTTTAAATGTTTTTTCTATATACCTCATACCTCAAGGTACCAGGTGACTCGCTAATGCCAAGATGCTAGGGCGGACAGAGCGTCCCACGGGAGTGGGGGTCCCCCAGAGTGCTCAGCAAACTCCCTCCCCCCCACAACTGGTGCCTCCTGGGTCTGGGAGGGTACCCAGGGTCCCCCCGTGGGCGATTGCCGAGCTGGGGAGGTGTGTGTGGGGGGGGGGTCCCCAACACACTCAGCAGCAGACCCAGAAGTGGACCAGAAGTACTTCTGGTCCACTTCCGGGTTCACTGCCAAGCCCAGGGAGGGGGGGGTCCCCCGTGCTCCTGTGGGATGCTCCATCCACCCCACCATCACAGCATTCACAAGCCGTGTCTGGTACCTCGAGCTATGTAGAAAAAAAACACTTAAAAGCTGCGTCTATGGCTGAATCGCAGATTCTCCAAATCAGCGTTGAAACTTCAGATCTGGATCTGGCTGAATTGAATCGCTGTCCCCTGATTCCGGCCTGTTTCATACACCCCTATTTACACTAAAAGGAAAATTATTAAACAAACAATAACTGCACTGCTGCCTGTAGGACTCTAGTATTTAAGGAATTAAACACACAAAACCAAGTATAGCACTTACAACTAAGCACATGTTCAAGTTTTCATGGAACTGGGGCCTTGATTTTATCCATTGTAAATAGTCCCTTTGAAGTCAAGATAGAGATTAGACACAACACAGAGTTAAGTAGAACAGTATACCAATACAGAACCAAAGTTTTAAAAAAAATATTATACTATTCTTAAGCATAGGTCTCCATGTTCAGCTGGAAAACAAGGGCGCTTTAGATAATATTGGAAACTGAAGAACTGGTTAGTAAAACCACACATATTCTAGGTAATCTGACATTAGTGTCACCCACTTACAAGCCAGCTACTGTACAGCACTACGAATGATGTGGACCCGACAATATCATCTGATTTAGAGAAGCTGTCAAACACCCAAGAAAGACACCCAAAGGATAAACTACTTGAATGTCTCAAAGAGGACAAAGGGAACCAGCAGGATCGCTTTCTACCCTATGTAATGGCATAGCTCCCTTCCAGGCTCCTTCCCTTGACACCCTCTTATATGGGGTTTAGAACACTCAATACCATGCACAATGTAGGCCCATACGCACCCTCATGGCACTTTTAGAGCATTAGAACATGCATAACTACAGTCAGCCTCCACCCAGAAGTGTCCGTGCACCACCTAGAGTCAATTTAACAACATGTTTCATAGGAAATAAATGATTAGTGACAAGCTAAATGCAGTTCAAACAAATTTCCCTTTGTTATGACTGAATCCTTCCTGTTAGCGTTGCCCGACAGAGCCAACCACTCCATTTCTGCTTCTATCCACATACTTTCCCAACCTTACAACAGCAAACAGGCAAAAAGCTGAGAGAACATCAATAATAAACTTTAATACAGCATCCTAGAGTTTTGCCTCTTTCATAGTGGTTATACTGCAACTGAGGCCTTGGATACTACTGCAAGACAAAAGTATAACAATTCATATTATGAAAGTTAACCTGCTTTTTGGAAGAAAGGTCCTAAAACAGCCTTTTTAAAGTATATATAAAAAAAAGTGTGGTGCAGTATTCCCATCCAGAGACGGAAACATACATTAATGATGAAACAAAATCCACATAAAAAGAAGGCTGGGAGTCAGAGTCCATGAAGTTTTGAGTTCCCGTCATTTGCTTTGACTTCAGGACTCAAAAGTCCATTTCTAACCTATTGTTCTTGCTGCTATTTTTGTTTCTACTTAACTTTACACAACCTCTCCCTTTATTATTGGGAGCTGAGGATACTCAGATGAACATGCTGATATTGCTGTATGGCATGTCATAGTCAGCATCTGCATCAATAACATACCGATTTCAAACTTAAGACTTTTTTTAAACAAACAAGATGTCTGAGATTACATGACATGCCTTCAACAAATTTTTACACTGGACATACATGTGTTAAAAGAATGCAAAGAAAAATAGTAACACTAATAATAATACTAACAACAACAACAGAATCGAGAAACAGGTTGGGAAAGTCTTCCTTACAGCCACAGCAAAGGGAAAAAAAAAACATGCTGTAGTCAAGTAAAAATATTGGAACTATGAGGTCCAGGAAAGCAAGGTTTGTTTAGTAACATCTTATTAAATTAACTGTATGATACTTTGTGCCCCAAAAGTTTAACACCTCTGCCACCTATACAATTAGCCCCCAAAAAGGATATTATCAAACAAACTTTGCTTCTTGAGGAAAAATAATGCCACTAACAGCAAGTTGTTTATTTTCCACTCTTCACTCCCTCCTTTTCATAGAATCATTTCTTTTGAGAGAAAGAGAAATCACGCAAATAGTCAACCATTAAGGCATTATAAGGAACAAAAGGTAAGAAAGAGTCACCTATGTGGCAGCATTTCTCCAAACCTATTAAATCCATACCGAATTAAACACATTTGGGACATCATGACTTCTGGACAACCACATCTCCCCACAATAAATAAAAAAAAAAAAAATTTGCTATTAAAATAGCAGCGCTAATTGAGTTGATGCTTATTTTATCTCATGCAGGAATTTCTTGTGCTACAAACCAACTAATGTCTCTGGACCAGGGACAATATCCTGCTTACACGTTTCACAACAGATCTCCCAAAAAACAGCAGCCCTGATTGCTACATGCTTTACAGATTTTGCTGATCCTTTCCATGTTTATCATCTGTCATTTCAGGCAACTTGAATCACATTCCTAAACCCAAATCCAGGAGAAGTTCCAAGCATGTCTTACCAGCATACCACAGAACCTCTAGTACAACATCTTTCTGAATAAACCTATTAATTCCTGTATGAATATCATAATCTTTATTGCTCGCTTTCCAAACCTATTTTATATTATGGTGCCAAATTAAATAGAAAGGAAAGATTTTGGTTCGTCTTGATTTTCTTACTACATTTTTCTACACACTTAAAATATCTTAAAAAAATTACAAAGTATTCATGCATGTGCTACCTCTACAAGTATATTTAAAGTCAACCTGTATCAAATGATTCATACCACTAACACCACCTAAATGTGCGCCCCCCTTCCATTGGTTGTACACCGCCTTTTTGGCAATCAAGCATTCCCATACACCCCTGGTGAGCCAGGGGGGCTTTCGGGCACTCCTGCCCCCCCCTTGTTTTTTGTTGGGATGGTCACCCCTTGGGCCCTGAGTATTGTCTCCTCAAGGAATGACCACTCATCTTGGGCACTGAGCTTCCCTGCTCTC